AGTAATGTGCTCATAGTCCCCAGTACTGCCTACCCTGTACGGTCGTATTACCGAACGCTCCCTTGGTAACGTATTTGATATGGTGTAGGGGGTTAGGGCATGGCTCTTAGCCGCATTAGGGTTAGGGTTAGCGGAGTAGTGCGTAGGGCTAACTTGCTCCTAGACTCGTTAGCTGAAAGTGTAGGCGAGTCGGTCCGGCCTCATTAGATACAGTTACCAGGGATACGTGTCCGCGTCGCTCAGTACCCTGGATGGGACATAGACCCTGATGAGCGGTAATATGTGGCTTCTGTTCGCGATGACCTTCGTGAGTGTACTTACACTCTGCACAGTTTCACGTGTGGCATCCTTTTCGGTTCAAGTGGTACACAACTATGCCTATCTGGTAGTCCGTGCCTGCCTCCTCTGTACTCTAGCGCTTGGGCGTGATTCCTATTATTGCGTCGCGCACGTGTGTCCGTGCATAGTTTGTAGTTCTGACTGATTCTGAGACGTCAGCGCAACCACGGTTACTGCGCATCGTGGCTTATAAGCTGAGAATTTACCATTCAGTTCTCTTCGGTCTTCGCGGGAAGCTCTGTTTGTGCAGGTGCGTGTCACTCGAACACTCATCGTGGAGCGATGGGCCGCGCCTGTCGGGCTAGCAACACTCGGCGGTCTCGCTTCTGGAGTCGATCATCGTAATACGCTCCATGAGTGGGTCTGCCTTGCTTCCTTTTCAGTTCGGCGCCCCTCTTGCTCGCCTACGTGCCGGTGGGCCACGCTTGGAGTGAAAATCTCCGGGCCGCGAATTGACTGGATAGATGCTAGAATTTGGCGACGGTATTAACGGCTGTTCCGTTGGGTTACTTATCGCTTCATCATGTAACGACCCGACAGGGGATTAGATTTAGTCATACTCAGTGAGGCACAATATGTTGTCTCCGCTTATCGGATTACGCCGTCGTGTGATAGGCATGTCATATGAAGCCAGCATTATGTCATATATCGGCGCTGCCTGCAGTCATATGTTCGATGGCTCATTACTTAGGCCCTCTTATCATACTGGCTTGAATTCACCGTGGTGTCGAGATATCAGGCAGTCACACACGCCTGTGTGCCCGCTGTTCTGTCGGTGCTTCTCTATTCTGACTCGATAATGCATTTGCTGTATTAGCAGGCCGGTAGGCATGTCTTTTCGTATATTGGGGGTGTGGTGGCTGTTTCGTTTTCAAATGTCTGGTCCAGATTGTGGGCTGTTGTGGGCGATATGAGCGGGGATGTCGTAGTCCGTCCCCGGCTCGCGTGAGGTTGTGGCTGTCGGGTGGTCGCTGGGGGGCGTCGGGCGTCGTTGCTCGTGGCAGTCTGGCGATCGGCGGTCGGGGGGGTTGGGCCAGCCGAAGGGAGCATTAGCGAAGTTGTAGTGTTCGCATCAACTTTCTTACACGATACACACCCCGGGAATGCAGATCGGCATATGCGATGAAGATCAGGTTACGTGCGAATAAACGAGATCATCATATTGTGTGACTAGCGCTAATTATGCTACCGGTGTTGTTGTGATTCTACGTTGTTGGTGGTAGCTGTGCCGTATCACGCCCCTTTCCTCGTGTGGTACCTCTCGTACAGATTTTAGTGCGACTTTATAGCTTCTTATTACACTTAATATAATTCGGTTGTGGTAGGCCGCACATCGAAATTTTCAGTTAGTGTTGAGTGGACTTATGACCCTGAGGGAGAGGAGGATGGGAGAGGAGACGAGGACAGGAATAACGACGCAATGGCAGATAGATAACGTTATGCCGTACGATATAGAAATACTGTCAAGAACGGAGCCGGGGACACGATCACAGACGCAGACGCAGACTACAGACGCACCCGGTGAAACAGAAGTAGAGGTGGAAAGGACATGTACGCGGTTATAGACATGATTGTAACCCTAAAGATGATGTAGAAGGACATACTGAGGCAAACATTGGTGCAGAGGCAGTGAATGTAGAACACATACTAGAGGCAAAGTATGTGGAGGTGAGAGGGAAAGAGAGGGAAACGGGAAGAGAAGGGAGAGGCGGTCTCGTGTTTATTAGAGGCATTTGCGGTGATTGTCAGGTACTCGCGTTTAAACCAGTGCTACTGACGTGAAGAATGCAAGTGGTGTGACGTCACGCATGCCGTGGGGTCTGATTCGCTTCCGGTCTGATTTTGCGTCACATTTAATGAGACAAACAACAAACGCACTGATGTTTAGTAAAGACGTACTACTGTTTGACCGATAGGTGACTTAAAATCCACGGGTTTTGGGCCGTAGCAACCCAACTTGGAATCTTAATTGTTCCTGGCTATGATAAAGATGAACGTTGCTTAAATTGGCTACGTCACGAATTTTCAATGAATTATGAAAAAATAATTTATATTGAAAGTAAGTACTAACGGCACTAAATGTTTTCTCAAATTCTTACCCGATAAGATTGTTTTTCAATTAGTTAAAAATCACAAAAATCTGGGCGATTTGATATATTAATGATCACTACATTAAATGTTTGCTATGGGCTATGTATGAGTCACGATTGTTTGTTCACATCGAACGGAATAGCAAAATAGGAAGTATAATGCAGCAACTTAACCATAAAAGGTGAACAGAATCACTGACATTTTGTGAAAAAATTGACATAATCTTTTTACTTTTACTATTTACGGTGACGTAATCACACGTGACAAAAGCATTCGTGCAAGTTGCATAATCTCCGATACGATCGTGCTCCAGAAAAATTCGTAATATCCTTACGATGTGTTTTCCTAACTTGTTGGAAATTGCAAATGCCCTGAATGCCACGTGTACGATTTATGCTCCAAGATTGTAGCGACAGTCGACCACGCTGTTGCTTAGTCGTGTGATCGTCGTTAGTAGTGTGTGATACTGTGTGATACTGTGTGATACTGTGTGATACGTAGTGTGATAGTAGTGTGTGATTAGTCGTGTGTGATACTGTGTGATACGTAGTGTGATAGTAGTGTGTGATTAGTCATGATATAATGATTGAATAACGCTAACCCTAACCCTAACCCTAACTAAAAAGTGACATTAAAACCACAAAGGAGGAAACTAATATATGCCCCATCGACCATTATAGATACTATAGTATATAGGTGTATATGAACCGTATAATGACGATTAAAAGTTGGAGAAACACTCCTAATGGAAGTATCACCCACGGATTCGTGTGATTGTGCCCCGCCCACCTAGTGACGATGTACGCATGAATCAATTAGTAAACGACTATCGATCTGTCAGCCGAACATAATAAGTACGTCAAACGAACATTCTGCAATAACATTGAGGTAACTTATGTAGAAACCGCACAGATGCATTGTTCTTTTTCCATAAGACCAAGAAAGCAAGTGATTTAGGTAAGCAGCTATAAAATAGACGAGATTATAATAAGCATCATGGTTTATGAAGGAGTGAATAATAATAGATTTAACTGCCTGAATAATAGATTCACCCTGTTATAATATCAAACATAACAATGCTAGTCAGGATTTGTGCTATTATCTTACAAACTTCCGGCACCGAAAACTAATCGCAACAATGCATTCGCGCGCGCCTTGCAATACCACAAGGAATGTGGCGTCATAGGATCTATGTCCCCCAGGTACTGCGGAAACGGGTACCCTGGGTACGTGTCCGGTATACCCGGAATCGTACCCTGGTCACTAAGTGATACTGGTTAGGGTTAGGATTAGGGTTAGGGTTAGGGTAGGGTTGGGTTAGGGAGAGTAAGGCGCTAGGGACTCCCTAGGATCTCGTTATGTGAAGGTAAAGGCGAGGTAGCGAAGTCCGCATATTAGAATTAGTACCAGGGTACGAAGAGGTTCCCGAGAGGCAGTACCCTGGGAAGGAACATAGACCCTATGAGCGGTAATGTGCTTCTGTTGTGACTTGTGAACTACGAAGAAGACATGGCCAGGTCAGCGGATTAGAGTCACTTCCTTCAATTATACAAAATGCTATCTGCTGCTGCCTTCTCTTATTCTTAATGGAACGTGCTCCTGCATTGAACTATCAACAACGCCACGTGCTCCTGCATAACCTGAGTAAAGTTCGCCGGGGAACTGTAGTGCGACGAACACAGGGATGGGGCGGCGCTACCAACACGCCAACTGAGTCATCATAATATCTCCATGATGGCTGCCTCTTCTTTAGTGGCGCCCTCTGCCGCCACGGGTGGCAGCTTGGAGTGAAAACTCCGACGGAATTTCTGGAAATCAGATTTGGGACGGTTATAACGCATTGATATATGCTTCACATACACCCAACATATAATAATACTCAGCACAATATGCCCTCATCCTACCTGTGCTTGGTATCAAGTGTCAGGTATTGAACGCTAACATTATGTCATAGTGTGCCTGCATCATGTCATGCATTACTATATCATATGTAATTCACGGTTTTATCATGGCACACACGCGTCCGCTGTCTGTCATTCACTGCACGATAATAATGCTGTATTACAGGCCCGTAGCCCAGCTTATATTGGGAGGGGGGTGGTGTTTCAATGTTGGCAGTATGTGAGGGCTGCGAAAGCGACTCAGAGCGAGGGACAATAGCGAACCGAGCAGGGGGAGGTGTGGAGGGGGGTGTCCCGCGCTCAACGCAACAATTGGAGAATTTTGCAATTAATTACAACTAAAAAATTGGAGCGATCATGGTGCATACCTGCGGAAATTCTTGCACATTTTCGGAATGAAAACAATTATATTTTTTGCTCGGGGGTGGGGTTTGTGCGACCCCCCCCCCTTGGCTATCGGGCCTCGTATACGTACACGCGTAAAACTGTGTGTACGCGCCCCGCGCTTTGCACAGGTAACAAATTGAGTCAGAAGTAGATAATAGGGAAAGTACGTTAGGGATATAGGAAATAATTCCCTTATTATCTACTTCTGATTGAGTGTAAACAACCGCGAGCTATGTCAGTTACCTGCCAAATCAACGTCTCCCTTTCCGCTCGAAACACGGCCTCTACGGCGCCGTAGGGTATGCAGGCAACAACAGTAAGAGCCAACAGGCCACCCGAAGCCGCCACCGCCCCATTCCGGGGAACGCGTAAGCTGCCGAATTTCACACTCGCGTAAAGGCTGAATCAATGGCTTGAAATCCATATAATTCTGAAAATCGGCAGCAAGCAGCAAGAAATTAAGCAGAACTATTACTTACATTACATTACATTTACATTACATGACCAGAACATGAAGCAGAACTAGAGCACACGGAGAGCACAGACCTCCGCCAAAGGCAAGCTGAAATTCTCTCAATGTGAAATTATTTTATTAATGATAAATTAATTAATTAAAGTGGAAAAATTAATTAATTAATAATTGGATATCCGGATTAGTGCGAGTCGGCAAGGTAAGGAGGAACTGATGGTTGCCCCTTAGCCTGTGGTTGCGTGTATTGTAAGTCACAGCCAGCGCACCCTAGCGAAAGTGAACTGAAAACGTGCATGTATACAACCCAGCAAACACACACAAACCAACAACTCAAAACTACACGCGGTGAAAACATAACCCCGCCAAGCCCTGGCGAGGTAATTACAGAACAAGGCACAAAAACAGCAGCA